CTCACAGCAGATGGCCCCGCCCCTCCCTGAGCCTGGTTCTGTGGGAGGTTTCTTCCTGTTAAAAGGGAGTTTTTCCTTCCCACTGTCGCCAAAGTGCTGCTCATAGGGGGTCATATGATTGTTGGGTTTTTCTCTGTATGTGTTATTGCAGGGTCGACCTTACAGTATAAAGCGCCTTGAGGCGACTGTTGTTGTGATTTGGCGCTGTGTAAATAAAAGTGAATTGAACTGACCAAACTCTCCTGAAACCCTGCACGGTAGGCTGACCTGCACCTCCTGGGAAATGTAAAGATAACACCGCCTGCACAGGTGTGCCAAAGGTGACGCCCACTCAGGTAGGCCACGTTGTTGGCTCTATATAGGTTGGAGATCTAAATGAAGCGGACACAGTCAGAGCTGCTTTCAAGGCTCTGGTTAGAATCAGGCGTCATCCTTGGCAGTGAGGGTCCTCACGTTGCAGGCAAGCGTGTTTGTGTGTCTCACCTCTTTCTGAGATGGAACAGGTACGTGTGCGATGAAGGCGAGTCCTCCATCCTCTCCCTCCTGCTCCTCCTGCTCCTCCTGGTCATCAGGCTGCAGAAATCAAAAAAGATTGTTCATATTCAAGCACATCTGTGTGTGTCAGTAAATTAGTCTTTATTTTTCTCTTCTCTAAACTTATTTAACTTGGATGATTTAAGGATGATTCGAAATGTCCGCCATGTTTCAGTAAATAACCCACATGTTGTTGACGTTGGGTCACTGGATTGAATGTTAAATAAAATGAAATAAAAATCACGTGAACCCCGTCTGTCAGACCCAGAAGGCTGACTCTGTTCAGCTGCACATCTTCAGTGAAACATCGTCATCAGGTGACTTCTTCAGTCTCAGCTGACTGCAGGTTTCCGACCCTATGAACAAGCAGCACTGACTAACAATGGGCTGTGAGGTCAGTTTCATCATCATTGATATGCAAATTGTTGTAACTATCGATCGAAGACCAGCTGACACTGAAATGTTTCACTGAAACCGATGAACAGGGTCGACCTTCTGGGACTTCCTCACCTGGATGATGTCTACCTCAACGTTTGAAAAATGTTTCAGTGTCTTCAGCTTGTCCTCGTATCACGATAAAGCAGACGAGGTAAACATGGCTAATGCAATAATCCAGCTGTTAACATCAAACTTATCGTATTTCGTAACGATCTCAGCCCACTACAAGTACTGATAACCTGGATTGATCCTTAAACCTGTACCCGGATTAAAGTGATCCTATTCAGTTCTTACTGACCAGGACAAAAGTGATCTGGATTACATGATCCATGGAAGAAAAACCCAGATCATTTTATCTGGATTACATGTCAGAGTCGCACGTTCACACCAGATGGTGTGTTTCTACGAGTGAACCGCTCTCAGGTGTGCCGAGGTCACCTGACAGAAGCTGATTGGCTGAGCAGGTAAAGAGACAGTTCACCTCTTCGTTGTAGACGGTGTAGATGCTCTCCTCCTCTTCCTCCTCCTGCTGTTTCTCTCCAGACACTCGAGACTCTCTCTCTGTTTTCCACCTGTGGACCGCCTCCAGCACAGCTACACACACACACACACACACACACACACACACACACACACACACACACACACACACACACACACACAC